GTTTGATGAAATTTTCCATCAGAACAGTTTAATCGCGCAGGACAATTGCTTTGGACACCGAAGCCACACCTGACGTGCATTATGACGTTTGGTGGAAACCCATCAAAACTTGAGGTATATAAAACCATAGATTTCGTTGTTGCATCGTAGTACCGCATGATTTGGGTAGACCTTATTTCCATATTCATACTTATAGGCAAATTGGTGGGTATGCATAGTGTCCTGTTGGACTACTTTTGGTTATCAGAGCCCCAATTCTTCAGTTCCAGATCACTGGCATGTGAAGGCGAAATCGTGAAAACTCCTCATTAAAGGGTGGAGGCATTTAGAACGGTGATGGAGATGAGTCTGTCACCGATTTCAACTGCTAGAGGCGGGATGGTTCAGGTGGTTAGAGCGCGAATTTACCGACCGGAAGATCCGTGATCCGAACCTGACCTCTGCTTCTCGACTACCTCTGTCTAGGCTTGGGTAACCTGGCAGTATCCTAGCTCTCATGTATCCCTCGGATGGCATGGCCGCTAGACACTGGAAGGCTGTTACTGCTAAGCTATTCGTTTTAAATGCTAATGTCGTCCGTGAGAATTCCTTCGACATGCACATTAATATCCTTTTTCAGAAGACCATATCGCATGGGGCGGAGATGAGAGCCGTTTTTTCGTTTTTTCCCTTTAACGGGCGATTAAATGGTTACACACTCAAGGCTAGTTTAGGTCCAGTCCGTTCTCGAGCCTACTGCACGACACATCCATACCTGATACGGGCCATCGTCGGAAGCTCACTCCAGAAGTAAGACAGTATTCTGTCACAGCTTTCTGTCACCCTCGTAATTCATCAATTTTTTTTTACATTGCGAACACAGAGTGGCACTTATTTGAAGGCAAGACGGAGTATATGTTACGATATTTTGATGAGCTTGATTCTAGTTATTTCCAAAAACCTCTTGCCACCAACGCCACATGTTCTACTGGCATCCCCCTTTGCAACCTGAAACCCAGGTAAATTTCAAAGCCTGGCTCCGAGTACCACGGCATAGCAACAGCCCAAAGATTCTGTCAGGCAGCTGTAGTTTGCCTTCATTTTAGAAATTATGAATTAACGATTCGGGTCAACGCAACCCTGATTTATTCATAACTTGTGGTCGTCCGTCAGTCCAATTTATTGAAAACCTCGTTTTTCACTTGTTTTATGGCTTATTTTAACTATCCGAGAAGCGACAGTGGCCTGTACCGGACTAGGACCTTATCAGCGTGTTCGGATAAATTAACAAGCAAAGTAACCAATACAAATTCACAAAATCACAATAGGAAAAGAATCAATAGTCAAATGGGGACTCACGAATGTGTAGATCCAATAGTCCACTGCACCGATCCAAATGCAGTAACTCGCTGTGAATTTCCCACAGATGGTTCCGCGTGCGTGATATATTCCACGGTATGTAAATTATTCACGGCTAAAAATGTCACAGGGATATATTTTGTGACGTTGAACAGTTGACACAAACACAGAGATCTAATCCCACTGGGTCAGCAGTCAACAAACAGTTCAACGGACAGTGTCGCCCTCTGTTTTCAATGAGCGTCGTTTTCCGCATTTTCCTGCTAAAATTTAGGCCACTATTACCATGGAATAACTTTTGTGACTAAATTAACGTAATCAGCAATACGTTTTCTGTATATCGTGGAATACAGTGTTTTACACGACAACTGTATGCTTAAATTTTAACCGAGACGCCCAGAGGCAGAGCGCGATGCACAAGTGACTGCGATATCAAACATCACACTCTATTGTGGAATATATTTGTTTTACACGACAACTGTATGCTTAAATTTTAACCGAGACGCCCAGAGGCAGAGCGCGATGCACAAGTGACTGCGATATCAAACATCACACTCTATTGTGGAATATATTTGGTCTCCTGAAGGCACCTGTTCACTATCGACTGAGTATTTTAAGTTAGGCACTATATCAGATAACTTATATTAGACGACCAAATGCGTGGGTAAACTTTTTACCGCATTAACACTAATATTCAAATTGGCGAGCAACACTGTTGTCCCATTATCGTTATAACCGTGCGAATAATCGCACACTTTGTGAAGTTTTAAGGAAACTGACTTTGTAAAAGTTTCTGATGCTCATTCACTTTATGTTTCCTATGAACACTGACTCTTATAGCTAACACTGAAATCACCATGGACCGTATTCAGTTCACCCAATTGTTATGGCCTACTTGAAGATAGTCAGTAATCCAGTGTTTTGTTGCCTGCTTGCCAAGGGCGCCCAGTGAATTGCAGGCTTTCCGTAAACAACTGGGGGGTACAGCGCGAACGCATATCTCAAGAGTAGGATTTTCTGCAGAGGAAACCGGAACTATTGGTTCTAGTTTTTTCGGGCTATTGGTCTGACTAAAGTTTAGATGAGCATTAGTCTTGAAGATAAGTTTACTTTTGGGTTGTTATAATTGCAAGGTTTGAGGAAGAGGCTTTTGAGTTCATTTAGTTCGTTCTGTTGACATAGAGACCCCATTTAGGGACTTTTCTCTCAGGCTAAGCAGCCTTTATATTTGGCTTCCTTAATTTGCCTACTTATAAGCCAATTTCAGTAGCTAGAAAATTATGTAGAATAGTTTGGGGTGGAGGTGCAAACTCAACGTGGAGCACCTATGAGCTGTCCAAACATTTGACAATCACCCTCGCTAACAGTTGTTTGCACATGTACACTCATGTAAAGCTGATTGTTAAATCATATGTCCCGGAGTGCTGTCTGAACCGTTAAGTTAGTAGGATTGGGTGACGTTTTCTCACCGAATGATGGGCCAGCAGATAAGGCTCTCAAGAGCAAGTGAGCTTTGAGGCGTTGTCCTCTGACGAGTGGAAATGATCGGTTGATAATTGCGCCTGTGTTTGACCGGCAAGAGATGCAGCTAATAGGCACTTATACGTGACAGTTTGCTTCGAAATAATGGGCTTTTGAGCACCAATCCATAAAGCGAAAACAAAACCACCGGGTGATATTAACCGTCCACCGCGAAGTGCACCTAGTGAACGTCAGCAGTGGACTGCTGAGGAATTCCAAAGCTTCTCACGCTTGCCAGAAATTTGATTCTGTTAAACTTATGAAACAAACCTACTATTTAAAACTTTCTACAAAAGGATGCACATCTTGCAAAATATTCTGATCCAGCCGGCCGTTTTTGGAGCTATTCTATTTAGATTTGAACATAAATCCATCAACACTACTGCTACGTTCTCCATCAATCTTTTTGTTCTTCACGAAGAGGCTGTCACAAAGAGACTGGACCTTACCGTGGTGTGACGGTTCGCGCACCTCAGCGATCCATTGAGCTATACTGAGGAGTGCCCCCGCGACATTCACAGAGTCTATCATACCAGGTTGTCAATGGTTAGAGGTCTGACGAACACAGTCTCCTGACCCTCCAGGTTGGGGGTTGGAACATGTGGCGACTTGTTTCGTAGAGGTCGTAATGCATTTGCATTTCGCACCAAACACCGCTGCCTTGCGGTTAGGCTTTTGAGCCAAAGGCTTTGGTTGAGGACCCTAATCGTCCTCCTGTCTAG